AGATTTTATATTATTCACATTAAGATTAAGTTTCAACCATTTAAAAAGAAAAAAAAAAGATGATATCAAATAAAAAATTTGATCATGAAATGAATCACGTGGTTTAACCAAATCATGAACGGTTCACCAATATGATGATCCAACATTCAATTCATCATGCTTTTTCCTAGTACTTGTGAAAAATGGCTTTAGTGTTGGACCGGATCGGTCAAGGAACCAAATTAACAGTTGGATTGATTGATTCAATCTAGTTTTTAAAACGTTGCAACCGGGTAGATTTGGCATGTAATAAACCCCCTAGGTACACTCAAGGAAGAAGTAAGAGACGTTGTGAACAAGTGATTTCCATCCACTTCAAGGAGCAATCTTTTACACCTAGAGTGAGGGAAAGAAGTGTGCAGCTCATCCTATCCACTAGTGAACGTGAAATCCATCAACAGTGTCCATTCTTGTTATCAAAGTCTTAGTGGGCCTTTTTTTATCAATCTTTTAGTGTTCGAGAGAAGATGAAAATTGTAATCTGGTTGTCTTCATAATGGAGAATGGTTGGTTGGAATAGGCCCCGCAACCTTTTCTTTCTGTTTTTCACATAAATATTGTGTTCTCAACTTCTCACTTGTTGCTCATTTCTCTAGTTGCTTGTGCAAGGACCAAGAGAAGGAATTCCATGTTTGCTTCTCCTATCCTAACACATTCATGTTTGTCATTCAAATGTTACGAAATAAGACAGCCTTAATGAAAGTACACCTATAAATTATTGTCCGCCAAAAATAAAGCAGCAAAAAATAACGAAAAGCAGCAATAATCCAAAGACCAATACACTTTATTGCAAAGCTATCCATGGCATCAAAACTTCATCTTGCTAGTTGAAACCAAAAAAATGCAGCAAGTTTCTACCATGATTCACAATCACAAATCTAACTCCTTTCCTCTCCCTCACTCATCAACACGAAAACAAAAAATGCCATACTAACTGTCCACAAATAGCTTTGCCCCATAAAGAATGACTAGGGTTTCAGAATGGGTTCCTTTACATGATATAGCAAGAAGGCTGACACCTAATTAACCAACAAACTGCCAAAAAAAATGTCAATTATGAACAAGGCATCATGTGAATTACCGTGCACCGACCGGGAAAACATTCATACGCGGACATTTGGGAAGAGAAGGACAGACTTAGGGTTTATCCGGGAACTTCCTTTTCAAATATTCCACGACGAAATCTCGGCGAGCCTTGGCGCGGGCTTGCTGCGGGGCGATGTTGACGAAGGAGAGGTGCCCGCCAATCGCCATCATGACAACGCCAGCAACAAAGAAGAAGCCCGTAGTAAGCACCTGCTTTCGGGTTGCAGGATAGTTCCATGCCATCATATAACATCAAATTTCAGCACAAGGGTTGATTTGATAATTTTTTTGTTATAACATCAAATTTCAGCACAAGACTTAGCTAGTTAAAAAAAACCACTATATGAATAAAGGATATAAGAATTCTCTATTCCTCACATTTGAAGATGATAGGACTAATTGAGAACAAAATATTTGATTTTTCTTTGTGAAAATTATAGAAATATAATGTCCATAAATGTATGATCAAAATCCAACAATATGATTAGATGATAATTAAAACCTCATAATAGAGTTAGATATTGATATTAGTCTTGAGATGATGGTGACAATTTTTAGTGGTAGTCATTCATGCTGATGACGACTGGCGGTGATGGCGACTGACGATGGCCATCAACGGTGATAACTGGTGGTAGTCATCGATGGTAATAGCCAGAAAATGCTATAGTTTTTTAATTCTCTCAACTCTTAGACCTCTTTTTTTGTAGAGAATAAAATTTTATTTATAGAATTTTGATATTGATATTTTCCTAAATTGATCAAAATCCAAAATATTTCATCGTATGTTCTATATTGATTCTCTTGGTCGTGAAAGGTTTTCGAAGCAATTAAGTGGCTTAATCATGCAAAAAATTAGGTGACCTTGAGCTCGTTAGTTTCGTCTTGTCAAACCGCTCGATTTTATTATAAGCATGTCAAACTTAAAGATCATTTGATCATCTTGTTAATATGAAGTGTCCAATGATGCATTAAGTACTTCATTATGCTCATTTTGGCTTGGATTGTACTACTTTTGATATCGTTTGATTCATCTTGTCGAGACATTCAAGTGGACTATAAATTTACTTACTTAAATTGAAGCTCAGATAATCCCGAATTTAATTTTTCGTAAACATATCAATATGCATTTTAGGGTTTACCTACCCTCTGTATTATTTTTTTGCCAATTTTTTTTTAAAGTTTGGTGGATTGTTCACAAGTTTATAATTGTTGTTAGTTTTACTCCGTATTTAGTTGCTTCTGCTCAATAATTATATTCGGTTCAGTGAATCAAAATGAAAGCAATATAATATGAATTTCTCTTATTGGATTTTATATTTTTTCATGCCACGCTTGTGTAGACTTTCTCTGAACTTTTTATTAGGAATGGATTTAATGGTGGATTTGAGCTATTGCCTTTTTATAACTTTTAAATTTGATTCATATTATATTGAATTTAAGAATGACGTTAGAAAAAAGTTAGGAAGCCGAGAAGCAGAAAATCGTTCAGCTTGAAAAATACATAAAAATATATAATTATTAATATAAATTGAGGCTCTAATTGTTATGGATTAGAACATTCGCAGCGGTAGAGAGATATAGAGTTTAACATCCTAGTTTTGCACAAAGATCACGTGTACAAATAGATAACTAGAGAGAGATGCAAGAGTCATAAGAGACGTCAAGATTTTTACTTGAAAATTTTTGAAATGAGAAAAATCATGGGGCTTGGCCCAATAAAAATGATTCTATTAGTGTTTATTATTGCTTACAAAAGAGGCCCTTCCTTGGGGGGAGGGTCGTGGCTCGATGTAGCAAATATACATCACATAAAGCATATTACATGGTGAGTGTTGGAAGAATCTAGTGATATGAGAGTTTTTCTCAAAGAGAGTGTTGGCTTGTCGTTCGGTCAGTTGGATCATAGCCGGGCGACAGTGGCTAAAGGGACCATAACCAGCGAGCAATGGAGGGCATAGGGACCGTAATCGAAAGGCAACAATGGTCGGAAAGACCATAGTCGACAGGCGACAAAGGTCGGAGAGAGCATAATCAGCAGGCTACAATGGTATCAAGGACCATAGTCCTCAAGAAATGGAGGCTGAAGGGGTCGTAGTTGACGATTGATGGAGGTCGAAGGGACCGTAATTGGCGGGCAACAATGATTGGAGAGACCATAGTCAAGGGACATAGTGGTGGAGAGACAGTAGTTGGCGAGTGACAATGATCGGGGTGGTGTATTGATGACATCCAGGCTGAGGTCCAATGGAGGTCGGTGCTCGGGCTGAGGTCAAGTGGAGATTGACAGACATATGGTGGTTCAACGACGATCAACGATTAGGCGGTGGTCCAACGATGGTTGGGCAGAAGTCCGAGGATGGCTGGCGGTCGGGTGGAAATTCGGCGGCAATCAGCTACTGATGGTGGTCTAGCCATAATCGATAAAAGTTCATCGACGGTGGAACTTAGGTGGAGCTCTAGATCCTTGAAGTTTCAAAGCTCTTCCCAATTTCTAGTCAAAGGTCCTCGCCTACAAAGGTCCAAGCCTCCCCCTTCATATGGGAAGAGAGGGTTCATAGATTTTAAGAGTGGCATGCCCCATAAATATGGAGAAGGTTCAGGGTAAATTCAGAGTGCTCTATCAGACAGCTCATATTGATTACCTTGATCATTGATTGATCATCAAACATTTAATTTCCTTAATGATGTCAAAATTAAGCAATCTTGGGTTTGTTTGATTTGTCTCATCTAGCCGCTTGATTCAATTATAAGCATGCCATACAACAAATCACTGCTTGAGTTAAAAATAAAAATAAAAAAGCATGCCATATTTAGAGATCACTTGATCATCCAATTAATAGTTTGAACCTTCTAAATATGATTCGAACACTTGATTTGGGCCTATTTGAGCTCGGGTTGAAATGATTTTTATGTCGTTAAATTTACTCTCCTTGAGATGTTCAATTTGGCTATGAGTTTGCTGAAATTGGAGTTCGGATGATTCCAAATTTAATTTCAAAATTTTTTAACTATAACATACGTCAAGATTCATGCTCGATCAAGATATAATTTTTTATGACGTATCACTAATATTACATAAGCTTATGATAGTAACAACAGTTTTTTCAAGAGATTTTATGTTATCTTTAATATTTGTATCGAATCTTTTCTGGTTGGTTGTAAACATCTAATAGGTCTTTATGCCAATCATTTAAAATCTAAGTATTTGGGAGTGTAGCTATCTGTAAATTCTTTTGATAGTAGCGACGATCTTTTTGTTACTTCAGCATTTGCGATTGCAGAAACTAAATTTAAAAACATGACAATGGTTGTTGGGAATTTTGATTAAAATAATTGGATGTAAGTTATATCTCTTAGCTTTTACATTAGATATGGAGAAATATTTGGGTGAAAAAATCAATAATGTATTTTCCAATGTACAGATAGGGGGTTTCACTATAACACTTCAAAAAGAATTAAGCATAAACTTATTTATTAGAATTAAATAAAAATTCGACAATTAATAAAACACAAATAAAAAAAATAATTCAGTGAGATAAAAGATTATTACAGTTATTATTGTTCAAATGATATATTTCCAAATAAAACAATTGCTTTAAAGTGTTTAATAAATCATTCTGACTTTCCATTTCACCATCAATTCAAAGAGAGATTATTATGTGAGGCCATTGAACTGTCCAGAGGTGAATCAAGATGCGCCATGTCATCCGGTACACAACGATTCACAACATCGTTATGCAAAAGAAAAATGACGTGGCGCGTCATGATTCGCCTCCGGACAGCGTCCGGTGACCGTACAGAATAATTTCACCACTTCAAATGGTATAATTTATGTTAAAGGCTTTATTCAAAAAGGACCTTGAACCTCCAAAACAAAAAACAAAACAGGCAACTTGCAGCATATTATACACAAAGTGTTTACAATAATTTTAACATGTTCCACAAAGGATCACCAAGCATGCTTGTTCTAGAATGTTCCTCCATTCCATGTAAATGATAACGGCAAGCAGCCAAATCGAGAAAGCTTCAGTTACAGAATGATCAAGGCAAGTAGAGTAGCCAAGAAAGCTTCAGTTGCAGTCGTCAATGTTCGCATCGTCTATATACTAACATAGGCTTCCTTTTTTTGAGCTAAGAAAGCTTCTAACGCCGAATTCTTCTCCTGGTTGTCTCTGAACTGAATGCTTCGTCCATGACCTGGAAGAAGAGTACTGTTAGCTCATGAGATTTTATATATTTTGATGCATGGAAATAATCTTTTTTCTTAAAGTAGCTTTCTAATACAAAAATTGAAAGCTGCTTTAAAAAGCAGTAAGAAAGCTGTCCCAAACGAAACCTTAGTGAAGCATTGTTCTCCATATTTTAAATCAAATCTAACAAATTACAATAATTTCTTTGTACTTACTTTAGTGTCAATCAAATAATTTTGAATTTTTATAATATACTGCATTCATTAATCATTACTCAATTAATTTTAAAAAAAAAGTATTCAGGCTCACCTAAATTAAATAGGTTGCATGAGTTTGAGACAAAATAATTTCCTTAAAAAGATATTGCCCCCAGTATAAATACAATGGCAGAGAAATCGCCCGAATTTATAACAAAATAACAAAGCAATACGTATAGATTTAGGTTTCGTTTGGGACAATTTTTTGTCACTCTTTTTTGCTGTTTTCAAGATATTTTTATACTGAAAAGCTACTGTAGAAAGCAGTAAGAAAGCTATCCCAAATGAAGCATAAACAACTTTTTAGTATAAATTTTTTTTAATAATTTTTTTACTAAAAAGCTTCTATAAAAAAGCAGCAAAAACACTATTTCAAACGAATCCTAAGTCTGAAAAATGAATTAGATATAAATTTTAAGGGGAAGTCATTTTAATGTGTGTTCTTTTTTTTTTTTTTTTTTTTTTTTTGAAGAAAATTTTAATGTGTGTTCGGTCGTTCAGTTCATAGGTGCATCTCTTAACTAAAATCTTTATGAAAGCAGTATTCACAACTACTGGTTTATATAGCCTATTTAAGGAACGGAAATGCATAGCTCTGGCCATATCCCAATAACCATAAAGAATGACTCTTTCTAGACAATCGTTTGCGAAGTAATTGTTCATTATGTGGGACTAAACTCTACAAAGCCCACTTTATTTCTTTGAAAACTCTCTGAAGGTAGCGGCAAATTGAATAATTTGAGGGCTACAAACCTCACTGATCAATGATGTTGGACTTAATTATTTGTTTTGTGGAAAAGCATGTGCTAAAGAGAAAAGACAAACACAAGAATGAAAAAAATAATTTACAATGAGAATATTAGGAAGAAAACTAATAGTAATCCGATCTTCACACAGCAAAAACAGCAATAACGAACCGAAAACGCAACAGAAATCAATGAGAAAGAATAAGATTATGGTCTAACTGATTTTTTATATTGTCACAACAAACCAAGATACAAGTTGATTACTATTTGAGAGGTAGATCAACTCTCCGCAAACCCTAGACATCACTAGAAATAACTTCAAAAAAAACTACTACAAACATAAAATTCCGTAATGAAAATAAAACAACCTAATTAATCCTAAATAAACCTTCTTAATTTTCTCTCAAATCTGAATTCAAAATCAGCCCTTTTTCCCTAAATAAACTTTCCTAATTCCCTCCCAAATCTAAATTCAAATCAACCATCTTTCCTTAAATAAACATTTATAATTTTCTCCCAATTTTGATTCAAACCAACATTCTTTCCCTAAATAAACCTTCATAATTCCCTACCAATTTTAGTTTCTATGGTAACTTGGTAAGTAATTAAAGGTAAAATTAATCTCATTTGAGCACCATTCTCCTTGCTTGCCGCCCACACTAATGAGGCTCACATGACTCTTCCGCTAGCCAACAAGACCGGCCCCCCTTCCCGGGGCCGGGTTGATTGGTTGGATCTGAAAAACATCAAAAAAATTTAAGATTGTTCAGAGAGATTAATGTTCATTAGTTTAGATACAAAAACATAATAAAATATTTACCCTCAAATATTTTTCTCATTTTTATCTCACCGGTAATCTTCCATCCCACTATCTCCATTATTTTCTCTCTACGAATGATTCCTCCACATGCTATGCTTACTAGAGAGAAAAAAGCTTGTTGTTTCATATATTGAACCTCCTCACTAGCTACCAACCACTGCAACCATCACTGATTTTCCCTTGATAATGTTTATGGTGACGAATGTTGGCCATTAAAAGAGAAGCATAATACTACGTTAAGTGTGGCAGAGATGAGGATGCTCAGATGGATGAGTGGTTTTACCCTTAAAGATAGGATACGAAATGACCATATACGTGAAAAGGTTGGACTAGCTCCAGTAGAAGATAAGATTAGAGAGAGTCGCCTTAGATGGTTTGGTCAATTAAAATGGCGGCCTTCCGATGACCCAGTTAGGAAAGTAGATGCATTATATTTGACTTATGTTAAGAAAGGTAGAGGCAATACCAAAAAAGACTTGGTTAAAAAATATTAGAAATTATCTTTCTTTATTAGATTTAAACGAGAATTTGACTTTTAATAGAACACAATGGAGAAAAAGGATTCATGTAGCTGACCCCACGTAGTGGGAGTTGTTGTTGTTGTTGAATGTTTATGACTTCCAATTAGGCTCCGACCCTTCAGTAGTTGTTCCCACTATCCGGCAAACATATCTCTTTGTATGACTACAAACAAGAAAACTACTAACCTTCAATCACTTCATTAACCACTTCGACCTCATCTTTCACACCTAGTTGAATGAAAGAGGAGAATAAAAGATATCTTATAACTACTGAGTTTCTTATCTTTTTTATAAGACTACATATGGTGGTAGGTATGAAGGATAAAATGTGAATGGGATCTCGAGTCTGGTAGCTCCCAAAGTTTAAAAACAAAATTGATCTGGTTCAAATTTTATCCAAAATTTTCTTAAATTTAAAATAAAATTTGCACGAGAAAAATATGAGAATATTGGCTCCACGTATATTAATAATCTCTTACTTAGATATTAATTTATGCTAAGCTTTATTTAAAAAGATAATAATCTCTATGCGATACCCCTCATAATTAACCGTAGAGGCTATTACAGGGCCTTAATCTATCAACAGTAAATTTGTTAGTTTTAGTCACAACCTTTGCTTTATATTTATTTATGATGCTCTTGATCCTGATATACAAGTTGCCTTCTAATGCCCATCAGCCATCCACCCTTTGAAAGCTGCCATTTGACATAAACTTTACCTCAAAATGGACCTTTAGAATCGCTAGTAATAAATTTAAATCGCTTCAAATGTTATGTACATGGTACATTTGTTGCTTTTAAGAATAATTAGATACATTTACTCCCCCCCTCCCAAAAATAAAGAATAATTAGATACAAAGACTTTTTGTAGAGTTGACTGAAAATACTTTCTGTAGAGTTGACTGAAAAGACACCAGAGTCCAATATTCCTGACTAAATAGAAGTATTCACATTAATGACCTGTGCATCATAAATCTCTTCACTTACAAATTCATATATCGCTCCATCTAATTCAAACTATATTCACGGTTCCTCTATGGATAGTCTTTTCATGTGGCCAGTCTTGTCCAATATATACCGACTAGACCATTTAATTGACTACTATAATGAGATTCAAAACTACCTCCATAGTTGTCTCTTCCTACACTTCTTCCTCTGCTCTCAAGATTTAGGGCAGAAGAAGAGTCTTACCCTTATTCTAGTTTCCTAATGTCTTCACCTAAGATCAGATCGTAAAATCATTATACTTTAACTTCATAGACCCACATGAATTGCTGACAACTATCACAATGCTAGCCCAATTTCTAAGTAGTGATGATAATAAGCACAATGCACAATTTTCACTATCTAAGTTGATATCAACTGACCTCATCTAACTAGTTATTAGATTGAACTCACTGAAATGCAATGTTGCAAAAGCACCTCTAAGCATCTTGAGATTAACAAATTTTCCCATTAGATAAACCTTTTTCCCATTAAGAAAAGAGCACAAGAGCGTTACATGGTTTAATGTGACACACCAATATTTACGATTGCACAAAGAGATAAATATCCACTAGTCTAGAGAAAAAAACATGATACAAAAATTTATCCTAAAATATTTTTCTCATTTTTATTTCACTAGTATTCTTCCCTCTCTCTTATTCCCGCTCAAAACTTGAGCATTATTCCTCCAACAACTACTCTCATTTGAGGTAAAGGAACCTGACGCCTCTTATATCGAACCACCTCGCTGATCACCAGCCCTTATAACATACATAAATGTTCTCTTGAGAAGGCCTAAGGCGTCCTACTGTTACCATTGGCTCTTCGATAATCTTTGCTGACTACCCAACAAAGAAATCCCCCTGTATAATACCGACTAAGAAAATTACTAAACCCCAACCACTAACTAACTACTTATTCGACCTTCAAAGGATAATGCGTGATTCCTCACAAAACTTTATTTCTTCTTTTTTTATATAGCAACATGTGGTGCTAAGTATGAAGGATTAAACGTGAATATGATCTTGAGTTGGTATTTGGTAATCATCAAATTTGAAAATCAAAATAAAAATTGGTTCAATATTAGCCAAGATTTTCATGGTATTTAAAATTACTATGAAATCAAACTTATATGATAAAACCATAGGGTAATTGAGCTCCACGCGTCTTAACAGTTTGAGCATAAGATGATATTAATTCAGGAAAATCAGGATGATTTTTTTTATTTAATATTGAACTACGTCGATGAAAAAAACACCTACCAGGTAGAATCCATTTAAAGTCCAAGTCTAACAGCTTTCTCAAACTATCAAGCTGCATATTAACTGCAAAATCATAAACATTTTGTTGGTTCACGTCTAGTAAAAACAGGAAAACTATAAAGGATGAAAAAAAAAAGCAACATATCAATTACATGTGGAAAAGTACCTGAAACCCTGTTAACTTGCTCAAATATGCTAAATTCAGAATCTCCAGTTTTTGCAAAATGATCGCCAGTGAAGAGAACCTTCAGTGGCTTGTAATACAGACAGACTGAACCCTGTAAATATAACATGTTTAATGACAGGCTATCATAGTACGTGTACTCCCTCATAATAACACTTTTTGTTGGTGATCCATAGAACCCATTTTTGAATGGATTACCACCCACAGATCATGATTCAACTACCTATTAGGAACTTTCATGATCTCAACTCTCAACTTACAAAATATGGATAGGTTCAAAAAAATAACTTGCAAATAAATACATAATAATTATCATTAGTACGTATAAACACTTGCGATTTTAAAATATTGGATCCTTCATGATTACTTAGCTACTAGGTTCATTTAATTTCAGTAAACCATAATATAATTGCTCAGATATAAGTTTTAACCTTTCTAAACCAATTAATTATGTCCCTTAATACTTCAGAAAATATGTAGCAAACTTACATCCTCCGGGCAACACTTTACTCTCCCCTCTTCACACCCAACCCCGCCTCACAGAAACCACATGTGGGTGGCAGAGTATGGCTGACCAACTACTCATCATTTCTTGAACTTCTCTCACCCTCCCTCTCTCGCTCCTTTCATACTCTCCCTCAACCTCTTCCTCCAAACAATCCCATTCCATCCCTAAAGATGGAAATGCAGTCAAACATTCAGCAACTATGCCATAATTTTACATATATTGTATTGTGATGATCCCATTTCTGATGTAGGTATTGTAGAAATGTACATTGTAAATCTTACTTCAGTATGACCAGGAGTGTGAATAAGATCAAACTCTGTGCCAATGCTCCATGGACCATTACCATATAGTTTCATCTCAACGTCAACAGTAGACTCCTTCACCTGGACACCTTGCATGAGAACAAATTATAATTGAGCAACCTTTTTATTTATTCACCAAGGAGAAATAGAAAAGCCAAATATGACAGAAAGAATCATCCAAAAACATTCAAAGAAAGGACAAAGCGTATATAAATATGAACATAAATATAAATATAAAGAAAGGACAGAATCCTTAAAAACAAGTGCATAAGAATGTTCGTGAATTTGATGGTGTGCCGTTTGAGTATGCCATTTGTGATTGTGACTGTCTTAATGAATCATGTTTGGGAGCTGGTAGATTGTTTTACTAAACCTATAGGATGCAAAAGAATCTTCAAGAAAAAGCTCAAACCATGGATCAATTGGTAAATTCAAAGCTAGATTGGTGGCTAAATAATTTACTCAAAAGGGTTTAAACTACTATTGCATTATTCTCCAGTTCCTAGAACGACCTCCATAAGAATTTTTATTGCTTAGCTTCAATTTATAAGTTGCATAGTCACTAAGTGAATGTAAAGACAGCATTTCTAAAATGATTATTTAAAAGAGTAGATTTATATAGAGCAACCGAAAGGTTGGGGTGCTAGGGAATAAAAAGAAAGTATGCAAGCATATCAAGTGTCGGTATGGACTTAAATGAGCTCCAAAACAATGGCATGGAATACTTCATACCACTATGATCTTCAATGTTTATGAGTTCAATGAAGCAAATTCATGTATTTATCATAAATTTGATGACAAAAAAAAATATGGTCCGATCATTTTTTTTTTTGCACCACAAATGGGGTTCAACCGCAACATTGCAAATATCGCCAATGAGCTTCCTCATGTTAAAAAAAGCATGCAGGGCTCCACTCACCTCATCGAATGTGTAACAAATGGGCTTCATCCATGACGTCGCAAATTTCACTGAAAAACTTCCGCTATGCTAAGAAAAATATGTACAGGACGTCGCTCGTCAGACAAACACGCCACCAACAAGGTTTTGAGACTTTTTTTTAGTTATAGCTTTATACCTGCATGTGCAAAAATCTTGACGGTGTTAACAATGAAGTTTAAAGTGAGTTGTATACTCACATATGACTTTATAGGTGCTTAGATGATAGTCGGTGAGTCGCAATGAAGGAACTCTCATTTATTAGGACCCAAAAGTGGACTCGCCCAATAATTAGCATGTGTTATTTTCCTGAGACTCACAGGAGAACTCGTCAGTGATCAACAAGAACTACTCACCCTGGCCTACAAAAGGAGGTCGTCCCTCATAGGAGGAAACCAAGGTTCCTCACAAGATCCAGCAATTCGTCCTAGCACCACAAGAAGTCAACCACTAGGGTTACTCGTTCTCAGCCAGAGTGGGTATCATCACTCATGCTCACCAAGCTCAACTATATGAAGGTGTCTATTCATTGGGCCCCTAGCCGATCCTGTCACGACCATCCGATCTAGAGCTATCCCTTTCCACAATAACTCACTTTCCTACATTTTCTAAGGTGATATGAGGCCCCCAGAACGAGTTGATGACAATCCTAGCAAGCCTAACAATCGCAGACCCGCCAATGGACTTGCCCAAGCGCACTCACTTGAACCTACTTGACACTACTAACTCACCCCAAAGACAAATCATTAAATTCATTCTTGTAAAGCCTCAAGACCTAAAGGAAGAATTTACCTACATATCCTATAAATTTCTCCACCACTAATTTCTTTAACATTTATAACCATAATCAACTAATATTCCAAAACAATATAAAATAAGCATCCAAAATTTGCATATACAATATTTCTTCCAAAATACTTAAATAACAATAGTTCATAATACAATGATTACTACAAAAGACTAAAATATATTCTGAAATACAAAATCATGTGTACCTTATAAAATCATATTTTTTTGCTCTTTAACAGACTTAATCTACTAAGCGGGACCCTTGCCTTTATCTGAAATATTTTAAATAACATAATGATAGGAAATACTTGATTTCAAGTATTCCCTAATCACTTTAGCAACAAATCTCAAGGCGAGCTGCTGTCCACAGCAGGAAAATCAGCCAAAACAGTAGAAAAGAGAGGAAAAACTGCAGGAGATTAGGAGAGAACACCGGTATTTTACTAGTAGACGATGAAAATAGCAAAGATACAATTTGTTCTTCGATTCGAGAGGAAGAACGTACTCTCCAAAATCTCCGGCGAAGCCAAGAGCCCAAAACAAAACCTAGATCTCAAAGAGAAAACTCAAATTCAAGATGATCCGTCAATTCCCCCCCAAACTCCTAATTATACAAAATTAATCATAAAGGACAATCATAAACTTCCTAAAATAGCCTTTCACGTTCAAAA